TTCCAGCTCCCCAGCTACTCTGCGTACTAAAGTTGTACTACAAAGTCGCCAGTTCTCAGCTTCCAGCTCCACAGATTGCTTTCGCGCGCTCGACACGCACGATCTCCGCAGAGGGTTGCGCGCGCAGCCGGCAAATCGCACTCTCGCCTGCATTTCGCGCACTCGACACGCACGATCTCCGCAGAGGGTTGCACTTTCGGTTGACGCTGTTCGTCCCGCACTCCGCCTTTAAGAGAGAATTTATAAATTGGGGAAATGTTTTTTCATTAGGACATCTCCCGTCCATACTCACACTTGCCTACTCATTGCATGCTTGCATAGTCATTGCATGCTTGCATACTCACCCTTGCATATCATGCTTGCATACTTACACTTGCATACTTTGACACTGGCATACTTCGCACTTGGATGCTTTCGCTCTTCCAGTGTGTGTGTGTGTAAGTGTGAGTGTCGAAGTGTAAGTGTCGAAGTGTCAGTGTTCAAAGGATTTTCCGGAAGAACCCTTCGCAATGCTTTCGGGAATATAACGAATTCATCAGGATCCCCGTGACTACAAGGGCTACACACACAGGGGAGGCGAGAAAAACTAAGGTTAGGAACGGTTAGGGCGAATGTGCACGTGTGCGCGCAGCAAAGACAAAAAGATAAGACATGAAGAGAGGACAAGCAAGACAGGACAAAAGTGTGTGTGGTTGCGATGAAAGGGAACCAAGTGCACAGGGACAACCGATGAACCCCACCTCATTGTCAAACCTAGGCGACCTGAAACCTGGGTTTAAAAGTACAAGTATATGTGCGGCTACACACTAAGGCCGGGACCGATGTGTGCGCAAAAGAAGGAATGAAATGCCAAGACATGAAGACAGGAGGACATGAAAGAAAAGAGGAGAACAAATGTGTGTGAAGGGGAAGGGTGAAAAGGGAACCAAATGGGACGAGAACCGATGAAGCCAAACCTCATTGAAAACCTGTTGCAACGCCTCTTCTGTATGTGAACACATCGCGCGCGGGGAGGGAGGGATAGGGAAGGAAGAGAAGAAAGAAAAAGAACAAAGGAAACGAAAAGAAGGTGTTCCCAGCTACCACACAAGCGTCCAAGGACACACCAAGAGAAGAAGAGAAGGGTTCCCAGCTATGACGAAAGCATCCAGGGACCAGGGACGCCCAAGCAAGAAGGAAGGGGAAGAAAGGAGAGAGAAAAAGAGAGAAAGAGAGAGAGAGAGAGAGAGAGAAAGATGGGGAAGAGAAAGAGGAGGAAAGACAAGGACGTAGACAGGTTCCCAGCTACGAGCAAGCATCCAGGGACACACCAAGGAGAGGGGCGTACCTGAGTGTTACATTCAGGAATACACCAAAAGTAAAGAGAGAAGAGGGGGGGGTGGGGGGAGGAAGGGGCTTAAGGTCCCGACAGGTTCCAATATGAACCTAGAAAATGCTTTGACCGCTATGGTCACCTTGTTCCATGCCAAAATGGCAGGCGACTTGAGACCGCTGTGGGCATCTAAAGTAAAGGCATGCCAAAATGGCGGCCAAATAACTTTGGCATAAGCCTCCTGCTGTCCGCTTCGGACACCTACGTTCCTGGGCAGGGGGAACAACGACAAACCCCCATTCGACGGGTACACAGGGGGCACTGGGCTCTCACGAGGAGGGACACGCTTATTGCCCACCTAGGTATGAACGCCTAAGAAATCAGGTGAAAGGTAAAACGCGAAACGCGAGTTGCGGTTAGTAGCAGAACCACATACATGAACCACCATGAAAGGAAACCACAGCGAGAACAACAGGTAACCAGTTTGGCAGGTACGTTTACACGGATCCCAGAGAAGGTCTTCGTTGGCCACCGCTCCTTTGGGACCCCGATGGCCCCCTGCTGAAAAAAAACAAAACGAATCCATCAGGATCCCTGTGGCTCCAAGGGTTACAGACACACACACACACCTGTCAAAACCCAAAAGGTGTGCAAGCAAATGCAAATTTTGCAAATTTTTCTCGATTCAATATTCAAGATTCTGGGGAACAATTCTTGAATCCAAGCCCTCGTATGTTGAGGTTCTGGATGTCAGCCAGGGCTTGGATTCAAGAACTTTTCCCCAAAATCTTGAATCCAGAAAATTTAGCAAAATTTGCAAGCTTTGGGGATAGTACAAAAATTCTGCGGAAAGGAAAGTACAACCAAACAATGTGATTGCTGTGGATGTGGATTTACAATAGATACTACAAAAGGGTAGTGTATCAGATGCACCTTACTGTCATAGATGCAATAGTAGTTTAAAATGATTTTTTTGCAATAAATTATACTTGTTTATTGTGTAACATATGCTAAAACGTATTTAAAGACATAGTGTGCATACATACTGGGGAAATACTACCAAACAGTATTGCAAAGGATGTCAGAATAACAGAACATTAGAGATTTTTACTGAAGGGTTCAAAACCTGCAACAGTTGTAGAACCAAACAACCAAGAGGAAAACAATAACTGTTTTTTCACATCTTCACAACATGCCTGGCAAGCTCAAAAAGGTAGGTCTTGGGGGGATATATATATATAGGGGATTTGTGGTGTGATATTCTAAAGAAACATGTTCATAAAAAATGCCGGACTTAGCCCCCTATGAGACCGCGATTAGGTTGCAAAACGCCAGCGGTAGGACAATTTTCGGAACCTGTAATTCAAGACAACGCCTGCATGTCCGCCATATTGCACAATTGATGATAAAAGGATCACCACTAAAATGTGCAAACATTTTTCACACCCGTACTTATATGATAGGTACGCCAATCTGTTGACCAGTTTTTGCATTTTTCGCGCGACAGGCAGTCACCCGTGTGCTTGGCGCAGGTCTTAGTCTTGGCGGACGTGGTGGATGGCAATCGACGTGCTCAAGCAACGACGAGAGCGGGAAAATATTTGATGACATTCTCAGACGATTACTTGGACCGGTGCCTGATGCGCGAGGCTGGGGTGAAGTTGGATGCACAAGCTTCGACGCTTTTGCATAGTGTTCCCAAAATGTTGGTGTGCGGCGGTGTGCACATAGGCCAACTATAGACTTCAACCCGCCCAGCGCAAGAAGTCCCGAACAGAAATGAATCCGCCTGCATTCCTAGGCCTGAACAAATGAGAAGGCTCAGCTTGACTTATGCTGTAAGTCGCCAAATTAGACATTTCTTTGTGCAGGTCGATGACAACAACAAAGTGTTGCCAAAACCTAAGTGAAGATGCGAGGTTTTGCTGTATGTACGTGGTGGCGACTAGCAGCGGCTCACACCCTTGTGCATGCAAACTTGAACGAGAAAACCGTCTCAGAATCCTCAGAATTAGTGGACATCCAGATGACGTCAACCAGCCTTGATTGCAGTCAAGTGAGGGTCAAGACGAGCTAGCAAAACTCATGACTCATGCCCAGGCCAAAACAGTACATGGAGGACTTCCAACGACGTCGCCAGGATGCTGCAGGGACAGAGGCGGAGATACGACAGCACTGGAGGATGTATACATATATTATGTGGTTTTCTATATGTTTTTGTGCTGTTTTTTGTGTTCGATCACGCCATACTTGGCAACAGCCAACGGTTCTGGAGTGTTGCCAGACAGAGTGGTGGGGATGCGCGCAAGGCGAAACTTACCGACCGAACTATGTAGTTCGAATCAAATCAATGTCTTTAGAGTTTGCACACGGTAGCACGAAATGAGCCACACCAAAATTGTTTCGGTGTTTTACAGACTGCGATGGATTAAACTGCCGAATCCCAACCCGATCAGACTAAACGAGTCTTCATTGCTGGAGCATGCCCATGCTGGCTGGTTGAGATTTTAGGAGCTTCTACAATTGCCCTGAGGGTCCCAGCTTCCACCATACTGGGTGTCCAAGCATTCCACCCGCGTGCAAACGCTTGTAATTCCTTCCAATCTCAAGCATTCATGTAAATATATGAATTTTAAGTCCAAGATATGTAGACAACCAGGTGCTCACCCCGCTTTGGGTTTGTGTCCCATAGCTGTGCCAAAGTCCGATGGAGGTGCTGGAGCCAGATAGTTCTGAGGCCAAGGACCAGCGCATAGTTGGGATTAGTTTGGCATGAACGAGTCTGTAGGCGTTAATGCTGCAGGTTGGCAACTTGGGGTCAGTCGTCAGTTGGACTTTAAGAGGTGATGTACCATGGGTTCATCTCTGGATGCCCTGAGCAAGTGGCTTGCAGGACCTTTTGCCGGTGTCGTTGGAGAAACGCTATGTGCCTCGGAATGCCTTAAGGTTGTCCTGCCATGGCTGCAACCATAGGGTTTGGCCCAACTCACTCCTGACCTGGCTTTAATGTCACGTAATTTTATAGTGATAGTGCTTGGTGTGGCGTAGGCATATTGTTTGAATCTGAGCTTATGTGGCTGGTGGCTGGCATTCCCATCGTTTTGGACTTCGTTTTGATTCTTGTGGGCAGCGAAGAAACTTAGGTCATGCGAAGGCCTTGACCTTGGCAGTACTACTGACAGTGAGCTGGAAGGGCACAGGTTTGAGCCTGTACAGCATGTGCACTGTAAATGGCTGATCCAGGCGGCCTAACAAACAGTAGTGCTCACTGTTCACCACACACAACGTTGGTCGCTGAGGCAAGAGTTGGACTATTTGGTTCAGCACACGTTGCGACATGTGACCTGGTTGCCTTAGAAGGTTGAGTCGACCAGCGATGGTGTGAGCAGGCATGGACAGAGGGAGGCATTGTGACTAGACGTGTAGGACTGAGTAGGCGGAGAAAGGGGTTTGCAGAGGCTGCACTGCAGAGGCCTGTGCAACGCTTCACTCAGGTGCAGCTGCCCTACTTTTTGGATGATGATGTGCCTTGCTTTCACTGCGGACAATGCTGGATACAGTTCTAGCGAGACATTTGTGTTGAACAATAACTGTAGTTGCTTGATGTGCTTGAAGCCAAAAATCGTCTCAATCAGATTGATGCAAGAAACGGCCGTGTCGGACGACAAAGCAGAAAAGCACGAGATGGAACCCCAAACATGGAGATGGACTTGGTTTCATCATGGTGTGCCGTCCGAGGAGAAGAAGGCCTTTGACCAGGCTATCAGTGAGGCGGGTGGCGATTCCGCAGCTTCGTTTCGGACGGCGTCGTGGCACGGACTGACGGAAGGGGGTTGTAGGATTTCTGTGGTCAGCGGCGTGACAAGGTCGGTTTCAACCACTGGCAGGTCGTATTCCTTCTTGGCAGATCGGGAAGCGGCAAAACGAGTGTGCTGGTCCACAGCCTGTTCCGTGCCCCCGGTCATAAGAGGGCATTCTGACTTGCGGAATTTGCTACAGGAGCCGGTTTGAGAAGATGACTTTAGGCAGGATATTTGGCAAATTATGTGAAAGGCATTGATAGGCAATATAATATCATCAAGATGTTCGGCAAGTGTTCTTGTGGTTGCGAACATGCTGGCCGTGCAGTCCTGCAATAAAACATCTCGAGTTACGCACTAGGTACTGCATGCCAAGAACGCCAGCGTCGGGCTGATGGTGGTGAAGACGATGATGCGTTTTTGATGCTGCATCTTGGCCACACAGGGCCTCAATTGTAGGAATGTTTGGCTTCAAGAGGCAATAGGCAATAGGGGCCTGGGGAATATTGTGGGGACGGGAACATCCTGTGGAACATTGTGACATCATTGTGAATTTATTGTGTTTTCGACTTCTTGTGCCTGGCTGCTGGCAAGCAACCATGGAGACAGCTACCTGTCCGTTAAGAACTCGCTCAGTCACGACATGTCACCACCATTCTAAAACATTGTGCTCTCTCAAACTAGAGTAAGTTCCAGCCAGACCAACTACCACTGGGTGTGCGATGCCTTCTGATGCCAATTATCTAGTTTGCTTCCAATGGCCAGGTTGGTAACACGATCTCCGGTCCTGGCAGACTCCATCCGAAAGCTTTTCGCGCAGATGCAAGCTGGACCAGCTGGAGGTCTGGTAGGTCCAAAGCCCCAAGAGTCATGCTTCGTCAACCACCTGGACTGCAGACATCATGAATCATGATGGCAAAGACATGGCAGACATGGCACTGGTCCAGCACTGGCCCAACTGGTGCCCAGCGTGCCATGAGAGGTTCCACGGCGGACGAGACCAATACCTTGGAGGACCTGGCAGGCACGTGGGAACTGTGCTGCTGGAGAATGCATGGAAAGTGCAGCTTATAAACATCCGTCCACCCAATTGCACCTTTTGACCATGATTTGACAAGATGCTTCAAGCTGTTGGTGATCATTCAAGCGCAAGATGGCGCAAGGTAGTTCCTGTGAAGTTTCCAAGCTTAACAAAGTCCAACACAACACAGACTAACCCCGCTCCGTCTCGAACCTGGAAAAAACAACAGTAGTCAATAGACAATATCACTTATCACGATAGCAGCTTCAGTGAGACAGGCATCGAGCTGGGTGTGGTCAAGGAGGAGGAGCGGCGTCAGTTCCGACCTCCTCCCCAGAGCTTGCAAGAAGATGTTTTCGACCCGGCTGAGTCTCCAGCCCCCTGGCACTGGGATTGGGCACCTTTGAAACCATGGTGGCGCACAGGTCGGGAATGCAGAGCCGAGTTATGAGTTAAGATGACTGTGTGTCATTCGGACTGCATTGTCGGCGGCTCATGTGGCTACATCCACGAGATGCCGCAAGTAAGAGTGGAGTGAAAGTGGCGGTCTTTTGGATCGCTAGCTGAGGTCATCACCAGCTGGGAGTCTTTGTTGCTCATGCTTGACAGGTCCATAGAAGGCGAATGGGAGATGCGGGCTTGGGAGAGTGAGTCCAGCATGTTGAAACACCACACCCAGGTTTCAAGGGCATTTCGTTAGGTTGTCAAAATAGCAAAGCCCACTATATTCAACATTTGGTTGGTGTATTTCCTTGACTTAGCAAGACCATGCCCCTCGTTGCTTCCTTTGTGGGGGAACAGTAGTCGATTGAAAGGTTAAACACAGGCCACCCTGTTTGGGCCTTCAGCTTTGAACCCGGATGGTGATGGTGAGGTAGGAAGGGAGGGAGGGGGAGAGAGAGAGAGAGAGAATCCTTTGGTGAAGCTTGATCCTCCTGGCAAGGGCTTAGTTGGAGGCTATTTTTATGGTGAGCTTTGCAGGTGAGCCCTTCTTCCGTCCGCAAACGGACTCTGGAAGCCGCGTGACGCGAGCTTTGCAACGACGAGGCCTGGTATCTCTGAGATTTTTGAACACCGCTAGCCTTGAATGTTGCCCGTTTAGTCAGGGCTTTGCCTGCATGAGTTTTGAAGGGTCCGGTGAGAGGTGGAGAGGTGTGGAGAAGAGGGCTCGAGTTGGACCTTCTTGTGGTGAGGCAGATTAGGCAAAAACTTGTCTTTGGGTAACCTTGGGTACGTGTGGGCATAGCTGGCGGATTCTTGGTTGTATCTGTTTATGGCGTTTGTCGTCCCAAACCCGCAGTTGACAGCTGCTCATTTGCAAGGAAGCTCGAAGTGAGACTTTGGGACGATGTGGGGGGCAGATGATAAGATCATAATATTATAAGTTCTGAGTTGTAAGGTCTATATAGATTATATAGGTCTATATACGTACAGTGACAGTATCAGCCCTTGTGCATCTCAATGGCATATCCTCAAGCCTTGTCAGAAGTTGCTAGCCCTGTTTACAGCCTTATTCGGCGAGTCAGTGATGAACCCAGGACAGAGAAGCGGGGGATCAATGACTTTGCGTGGTCAAGATCGCTTTGAGAACGAAAAGGAGTGTTCAGACGGTTATGGAGAAGATTATCATGGCAACAATATGCCCTCCCATGATACACCCACTGGTAGATTGAGCACATGCTGTGCAAGGAGATGGTCGCGAGTCGCAACTCAATGACCACTGAAAGCACCCAGCTTTGCAATCATTCAATGACCGCCCATTTGGCCTGTTCATCCACCGTCCTGATCCCCTCCCCGCCCTACCGCATACTGTACTACTTACCACACTGCGAGGAGGAGGGCCGATTTGACATGGAGTGGGATCACCTCAGCTACGAAGAGTTCGAGGTGGGTTGGTGCTCTGGCCGTTGTCAAAGGAGGTTTTTCATAAAGCGTGTGCCTTTTCTGCCGTACCTGCCATGGAACATGATGATTGCATGGAAGGTGCACCAGGTCCTGCAACCTGCAAATTCATAAAACAACTAAGCCTGATGCCATCCAGGAGAAGTGTGGGCCAAAGCTTTGGGGTGCTGGCTGCCTTGACAAAAAGGAGGTGCCTTGGCGAAGGGCCAGGGAGTCACAGAGATTGTACCTACATCGACTTGAGCACGATTCGCGGGAGCCTGTGATAGGAACGTGAATTCCCTAATAGACTCAATAGACTGGAACGCATTTAGTAACTATTCGAAGCTCAACTTTTCCTGCCCTGCTTTGAGATATTCACAAGGAACCATCCAAGGACAGTCTCTTTGGCGCCTACCGTGAGTTTTTGACCGTCATCGCTGGGAGCCCCCGTGCAGCACGGTCTGCGGCGGGATGCCTCAGCAAGGAGTTCGCCATCACTTGGGGGGAACACCCGGCTCGCATCGAGTCTAAGTTAGAGGTAGGTCCAGGTAGGTAGTCAATGGTAGTTGGTGTTTGTTTCCTGCCTCGCATGTGGTTTCAGATTGACATGCTCGCATTGTCCTCGTCCAACTGGTGTCATGCTATTGCACATGTGGAGAGGCTACTTGGGTCGGGTTGGGTGCGTAAGATGTCGCACTAGTCTTCAAGTAAGCAAGAATATGTCCTGCAGAGGTCCGTTGCATGCACGTGAGATGTTCAGGAGGAGTATGTAACTGGCAAGGGGCCGGATGGAAAGAGCTTGCAGCTTGGCAATCAAGGGGTGCCGAACATGTTTGACCTGAATCAACTTGCTGATCCTGAAGTGGTTCCATTGCGTGAGCCAGTTTGATGTGAGGCCTGAGATCAAAGACTCCTCATACAAAAACTCTGAACTGGGCCGGCAACGAGTGTATGGAGCCTTTGAAGTGTACAAGAAGTTCAAGCAGGAGCTCCAAGAACCTAAAATGAAAATGGATAAAGTGTGGCGAATTCTGGATTTGGACTCTGAACTTTGCAGGTTCCACAGGATAACTCGCCAATTCTCCCCACAATCCTCCAGGTTGCGGTCAATATTTATTGTTTTAACTTAAAAGGTCGTAACACTATGACAGGGCAGGCAGAATGGACTGATTGCTAGGGCTGGAAGCTGGGATTACAATGAGGATAAAGCAGCAATGCATAGCAATGCATCAAAAAGGCAGTCATACCATGTCATATCTCTCGGCAGTGACGCGGTGCCAGGAGCTCCATCGCTACGACTGTACAGATGTGGCTCGTGATCTCCTCAAGCGAGCGCAGGCAGCACAGAGATTGAAAGATGGCGGCAAAAAGATCCGGAAGTGCCTTGGTTCATCTTGGTTTAGCGATTTTGGAGATGTTTATACAGAGCCACAGGGCCTTCTGAGAACCCGTGGATGGTCATGTCTTGGTGAGATCTGTCTGGGACCCAAATATATGTCTTAGGTTGCGGCTTGGTTTCTTCTTGGCTTGGCTAGGCTCGCAGGTCTATTTGACACTGCACTTGTGATGGAACCGAGCAGTCACAGGGACCCTGTGCATGAGTTGCAGCAGCAGGGGTAGCTGGAGCCCTTTCAGAAGAGTGTACGAAAGCCCCTGAACACCAAGGTTTTTTGGAGTTTACGTTGATGAAGTCCAGGACTTGTTGCCGGTGGAGCTGCTACTCCTGAAACTCGTGAGCAGATTGCAGAGAGATATAGTGAGCCGATGGGATTTTTGGAGCTGGTGAAGTCATGTTCAACCCACGTTCACACACGGTCTGGCTCTTTTTTCCATCTCGGTGTGCGCTGCTTTAGTTGGGACTTGGAACATCTTGACAGCCTCCAGGCAAGTGCAGACATGTGAAAAAGTCGCGCTGGAATTGTTTACTCCCGCGGCTCGAAAGAGCCTGACTTGATGGACATCGTCTCAGGTGAGCGATCGGAACGAAGGCTTCATCTTTGCGGGCGACACAGCACAAACCATCAGCAAAGGCACGTGTTTCGGGTTCGAGGATGCCCCGTGGGGCTCGTGGGGTTGACTGGTTTTGGTTGTCCTCGCAATCAGGACACCTCAGCCGTTCTTGGTCCAGACTCATATACTACCGCGGGAGTTACTGGGGGATTGGGGTGTGGATCTAAGCAGGGGTTCAGCAGCTTCAGACTCAGACTCACAGCTGCGCAAAAAAGATTGCGATAGCTTTTGCACAAGAATTCCTGCAGTTCACCAGTCAGGTGTGGAGTTCCGATTTGAAAGCATCCGACGCCTCTACTACGAGGAGTTTTGTGGAGGGAAGCAGCATGAATCAGAAGTCGTCAATGTGAAGGTAGAGACATGCTCGATTTGCGACTTGACTGACTGCTGGCCATGTCATACCAACTCATACCAACCGATGGCTGTGGTAAAGAAGGTATAGAAACCGTTTTGGTCACGCAGAGAATTCCACTGTTGGTTCATGCCTTTGATGCGAAAACGTTTTAGCTGGAAGATTGCCGGATCAAAAGCTAATTATACATTTTCATGCAACAGTTGCTGCTGCTGTTTGTGTTGTTGTTGTTGCTGCTGTTGTTGTTGTTGTTGGGATGAGCACAGGTGCAATTAGATATTGGATTCTGCAAACATTGCAAGCTGAGGTCAAACGGAGTTGCGCAACGGGGGCAGTCACTACGTTTGCATGGGAAAGCTCCTTCGTAAGCATTGATTTGCAAGGCACGTCAGGTGCCAGACCATGTTCATGTGCACATGGAAGAATTCTTGAGCTGCATTTGAGGTATCACGAGTATTTCATCTGTAAAAATGGCTGCGAAGAGAAGTTGGATGCTGGGCATTGCTTCTGAACGTGCTCTTTTCTTTTGACGATTCAATTACAAGCTCGATCCCCGCAAACCACAGTCCTTCAGATGGCGGATGGGCCTGACTGACTTGTCTTCAGGTCGGGCCTATCAGTTCAACCTAAGTCAATTCGAACTCGCTGCCTGCAGTCGACGTCTCAATCTGAGGAGGAGAAGTCTCGGAAGCTCCGCTACGGTGCCACCCCGGGCCTTCGAAAGAAGTTAGACTCGGCTGGTGCCGGGAAGATCAACTGCCCTTTCGGGCAGGACGGGTTGGGTCCAGGGTTGGGAGCTGGAGTGCACTTAGACGGTCGAACTCTCACGTGGAATATCGCGGGATTATACAATTTGATGGGCGGCTTCTGAGATGACAGAAATTTGCTGGATGAAATCTTGATTCTGTGTATGTGTGTGTTTGTGTGTGTGTGTTGGACCTACAGGTTATACCTCAAGTACTGTAATAGAAGATTGGAGTGAGGAGGGCATGAATCAGGCAGGACTGTGAAAGCGTCAAGTTCGCCTTTAGTCATGCTGTGTCAGGAGACTGGAAATCCCTGTGGATTGATGCTGACGAAATCGAAAGTTGGCGCTGTTTCGTTTGAGGCGGCTCGCGTTGATCCGGGTATTGTGTTCTGGCCCTGTTCGTGCAAGACAGTGCAACCAGTATTATATGACTTGTGAGAATGGATGGGCACTAGATTTGTCCCCGGGTTGCTTCAGACTGGCCAAATGGCCTTCTTCTGTCTTCACTTCCCAAGTCGCACGAGAATTATGTATCTTTGTGTTTTGTTTGGCCGTAGGAGGAGCCTTCGTCCAGCCAAAGAGAGCTGCCACAGCAGCTGGCACAGATCCCAGACATCACATGCCTGTCGCAGAATCACAGGACCAAACGAACGGAGGGTCATTGTCACATGAGTGTCTTGTTGTGTTGAGGACGTTGAAGAAGGTGGACTATTTACGGGTTCAGGTATCATCACGACTCATACATCGATGCTTGGGACTTTTGGGATGAATCATCATTGTGTGATGATAAGGCCGACCTTACTGTTCCTTTAAGGCGGCAATGAGCCCCACATTTTCGTGCCTCTATATAGATTGAGGAGTACCAACTCGATCCTGGAATTGGCAGCGGCAATCCTGGACCTCATCACTCACTTCTTCCCGGACAAGATCGACAAATTACCCAGGGAGAAATCGAGGGTGTTGCTCAGCAGAACTTGGTGGTTTAATCTTTGCTTCCTTCATGTTTGGAAGCAGATTGAGTGCACAATAGCGATTATTGATGATTTTTGGAGATGAGATAATGACAATCTCACAGGGGCTTACCAATGGCCCCCATACCTAGAAGTGGACGGCATATTAGTGGTTTAGCTGATCCAACATAGTGCAGTTGTTCAATCGGGTGGTTTGCATATGGCTTAAGGTCGCACAAACCTTGGACTTGAGGCCGGCCCCACACCAAAAAGCCAGCGCGGCATGTAATCAAGGGCACTCAAACCCGCTCAAGCCCTGACAATCGGTTGATGACACTAAACAGTCGAAAGCAGGCATGACCTAGCCTGACTAGCTGAGGAAGTCGAGCACGCCGCCCCGTATCCTAAACAAGATGCCCCTTGGCAGATCTATAGTCTATGGCGGTTGTTTGCCCGGGGTGATAAAGGGTGAGGAGCACGGTCCTCAAGCATAGCACAAAAGCAGCGGCTTGCTTATTTGTGTTTTTTCATGCTTCTGAGGGCCGAACTGATGTCACTTGCAGGTGGTGAACACGGCGGAGAATGCAGCAAATGCTCCATTCTTCAGGTTTCTCCCAAGCTCTCACACCCACCTCTTGGATCCTTTTGGTCTTGATTATTATTCTAAGGTTTGTATTTGATGATGATGATGATGATGCCACTGGCCCATGACCCATGTCCATTAGCTAATATACAATCTGTCCGGTGGTTCGAGGGGGTTAAAAGTTGGAAGCTCATCCACACCTGAGCAGACGAAACAAGCCGGCACAACTGGAGGGCAGCTCCAGTTTCAGAGTCGCAATTGGCACGGGGCAAGAAGCGCCTCTCGCATCAACCGCAGGTCTTGGGAAGAGGCGCAGAAGATCATTTTCGCCAACGACAGCTCAGAGAAACCTGGACCAACATCGTATTACATCTCATCCCGTTGACGTGGTTTGAAGGGCTAAGGCGAGGAAGCTGCATTCGCCCGTGGGAGCGAAGAGTGTGCTGGGGGTGGAAATGCAGAAGGGTCATAGGCGGGAGGGGCCTGGTCAGGTCTGTAGACTGTAGTTAAGCATAGTTACACTAAGAGGTTCGGAGGAATGCCGGAAGCTCGGTGAGGTATAGATTGCTTTGCACTGCGCTACAGAGCTGCTGCATGTTTTTGGGTTTTGAAGCAGCTGTGACGTCATAGACGGGAGTTCCATGGAGTTCCAGACCCTGTGGGTTAAAACCCTGCAGACTACAGACTGCATTTCTATGTATATATATATGTTATATGAGTCATACATATGTATATATGTTATATATATAAATATGGTTTTCATTTCTGACTGTTGCGCGTTCAATTCTATTGGCTTCTCCCCACATTGAATGTTCAAATTTAAAAGTATAATTTGTGCCTTCTGGGTTTGGGTCAGTCTGGTCGCTGACATCCTCACTTTCCCTTGAACAATGTACGCTGTTCATAGAGGAAAAACTTATAAAACTTAACAAACATGAGAAAACACGTCCAGTCACAGAGAACCCTGCAATTGTGTCAATCCTTTCACCCCTTATTACCCTTGTGTTGAGACCTCCACAGCGGCCTGTGCATATTTTCCGGCTCGCGCCAAGGAGAGCGGTCCTAGAGTTTGGAGCCAAGCAGGTGGTGCTTGTGTGGTCCGAAGAGAAGAAGCGGGAGATGAAGGAAAAACTCACACAGTCGTTGGTGATGACAATCCACGAATGCAAAGGTTTCATGGCAGGATTCGGCATGAGCTGGCAGGACCTGGCCCAGTAGCCCCCCTGCCACTCCCAAAGGAACACTTTACTTTTGGGCGAAACATCTGCAACATGAATCAACATGGACAGCAGTTTCCAAAGCCTTTCAAGGGCCCAAGGGCCACACCGCCACACGACACGTGCTTTCAGCTGCTTTGGCTTTGTGTGTAGCTGCTACGGTCTCAGGTTTGGAGTTCTTCGATGTCTTGCTGGTAGACCCCTTCAGCGACATGAGTGGGTGCACCAACGAGTCACAGGCGCAGCAAAACTGGAACCTCATCTTTGGCGTGTTTGAGAAGTTTGGCCTTCAGGTGTCGTGGCGCAAATATAAATTGGCCTTCATGGTTTTCAGTCCTGGTCAGTGATGAACCAGACTCAGATAGCATTTCAAAGTGAATGCCTTTGTAGCCTTGCCCCTTGTTTACGATGTGTGGGCTGTGCCATGACTCCAAGCTACCAGGTCTGCACAAACGAAAAGAAGAGGGCCCCAGCTTTCGTGGACGACAAACATGGCTTGTTGTGCGCGTGGCTGAAGACTCTCTACGTTGGCATCACACGTGCGAGGAAACGCGCCCCTTGGACCACAGTGAGGCACACTGGAGATTCAAGATGCACAAGCTTGCTTGCAACTGGTTTTGGGACACCACAAGCTTTTGAAAGACGGTCCAGGTTGACCACTTGCTTAAGTAGGGGCATTGCAGAGGCTGACACTTGACATGAGTCAGAACTCGAGGTGTGGATTCTCGAAAGCCAAGAGCACGGCCAGTCACTGGTCCGCTACTCGCCTACCAATCCGGCTGCGAGAGAGAACGACTACAATGACCAGAGATAGATAGATAGGATAGGATAGGATAGGATAGGATAGTAGATAGATAGATAGATAGATAGACAGAGACCAGAGATAGGCAGGATTAGGCAGGTATAGAAGTAGACAGATAGAGAGAGAGAGAGAGCGATAGAGATAGAGATAGAGAGAGGAAACAATTTTGGGAATGAGCAGTACGAACCCGCGTGTGCAACATGTGCAAATTGTTGCGCAACCAAAGCTGTTACATGGCAATTTGCCAAAGGCATTCCTCCTTAAGATTACCGTAGGCAGGATAGACAGGAGACTGCTGGTGTGGGGTGTGGGTGCGATCATGCAACTCGAGAATGAGAAGTGCCAGCACATACTCAGGCTTTTTGCAGGAGATGGGTGTGGCCCAAATCTGCAACGTTGGTGACGTCACTTGGTCAAGGTATGTGTTGTTTGCGGTCAGCTCCAGCGACTCAATGGCTTTCATTTCTACGCTTAGGTGGCGTGGTGGTGTGTGCACTTTCATGCCTCAGGGTCTTCAGAGATTGTTACTTCCCGCAGCCGAAAACCAAGCAAGGAGGGCCTTCTCCAATGCGGGTTAACAAGATGATTAACTACCAGAGGGCTTAATCAGCTTAATCATGCTTAATCAGTTTTGATGTTCATTCAAGTGAAGACTCCCTAGAGGCACAGGCAGGTGTTGAGCAGATCAAACACGCGGCGAAGCCAATGAACACTTGATCCTGCAAGTGCCAGGGCCAGTCTCCCGAGGATTTGGCAGGCTCACAGGGCTTTGCTGCGACTTCTACCAGCCAAGAATGGTTTGATATGGGCCTGCAGATGTTTCGTGAGTCTGGCAATTACGAGCAGGCCGGATGCAACTTGTGAAGCTGGTTGCCTTTTCCACCCAACTTCGGTTGCCGCCTTTTACCCACAGCTCTTAGCAGTAGCAGGGGTATGCTTTTGGTCTTGTGCATGGGCAATGACAATCCGGAACGCCTGCTCGTGCTGTCGTTTGGTTTGTGCAGAGCAGTATAGATGAATAACACCGAACCATTGACCATTAGATTGTTCCTACAAAGCTACATGCCTAGATTTCAGGGAGAGACAGATAGGGTTTGTATGAGTCCTAGTCATAGTCCCTAGAGTTCGGGGATTCCAGGGTACTTCGCGCTGCTTTCAATACAATTGAAAGCCACAGCCAGCCAGCGGCAACAGCATTCAGTACGGCTTTGGTATGCTTCGGTTATTGAATCGTTTACGGACGGACCGATGTATTTTTTGGGGGGGGCCACGTGCTGTGCACTGGTGTCGAGGCCAAGGTGGCTTTTGGGAATGCTGAGAAAGCAAACTTTATCCAGGCGAGCCTGAAGAACGTGTTGCCTGTGTGGCCTTGAGGCGAACAAAATGAGAGCTCTGTGTGGCCTGTGGCGTGTTTGCATGCGTTTGCCAGGCAACCCCGTGGAAGCTGTTGGCCGAAGCAGAGGTCTACACCTTAGCCACTTCCTGGGCCACGAAAGTCTATGGTTGGATGTTGGATTTGTTGGTTGCATGGGATTCACCCGCTCAGGAATGCCGGAAACCTGCTCGGATGGATCACAGTCAGGCGCTGTGTCAAGGGCACTGCTGGTCCAGATGCATGGCGCACCGATCCTGACCATACTTTCTGGACCCCGGACAATTCGGCTTGAATTTCAACAGCGCGCGGGGCGACCAACACTTGGAAATTGCACTGGTAATACCATGTCATTGCATCTATGCAATTCAATTCTCATTCTACATCTCCTGCTTTGACAAGCATCTTAAACCAACCAAACCTCACTTACGTCACCACAACCGCATTCCAAAGAGTAGTCATATATATATATAGTTATATTAGTGCAATCAAATATGCATAATACATATATAGATAGTTCCAGAAAGGTTGTCATGGTGCTCAGAATTCTGACAGCTGACGACCAGTACGGCTTCCAGAAAAACTGCTCGCCTGTGAGCCATGGCAAGCGTTGAGGGCGACTTTTGGGAGCTCCATCGCCGACTGGGAGAGTGACGCATGGAGAGCCAATGAGTTGGGCAGCATAGGTTCAATCAGTTTTAATCACCTAACCCCCCCTCGTACCGTTGATGACAATACCGAAGAAAGGCATCCTGTGGCCCATGTTCACTGCGGCACCAATGACTCATGTGGGCATTGGGTATCAGAAAAGGATTCAGGATAGGCATGTTTGCTGCTTGTAGCTTGATCTACTATGATATACTGTATCTTGATATGCGTCGACTTGGCGGCGTCGACTTGGTCAATCTTGGCCCAGGCTATGCGCGGGATGTGAATGGGCCCATACAGTCCATGGCTTTGCAGTCCATGGCTACGCCTACGCAGTCCACAGCTTTGCGTCCAGGGTCGCCGACCAATAAAGCACAAACTTTGGCCCTTCCGGAGGCTTTTGTTCCTCCTGGGTCGAGGAGAAACAGCCATACGACCCTGGCGCTCCCAGACGTGGCAATGCCTGGCTCAAGGAGGCATAGCAGCTTAGTTGGCCAGATTTTGGGAAAGAAGGAATGAGAAGGTTGGCAGTCGAACACGTAATAGCAGTAGCTTGTATTTGCCAGGTTGTTTGCAAGAATGCCTTTGTGAGCTGCCAAGGCAGAGTTCTTTTGTCAAACGTCTCGAACATCTCAAAGGTCTCTGAGGTCATTGCCATGCAGAATTTTGGAATGTCCCAGACTGCTGAGGCTCAGCTCAAAAACTGTTGACGTGGGGACTGACATTTGCAACCATTCGAGGAAAACACGGTTTTTGATATTTTTTGTCCGTGTGATTTTGTCAATCGTGGAGAGTGCAATGGGAGGTTTTTGTGTCCTTGTTGGTTTGATTCAAATAAACTGCCAAAAGAGTGCGGGGCTATATGCAGTACTGGGTGCTGCATGCATAGACATGCCACATGCAGGCCAGGCTCTTTATGCCGTTGTGCTGAAGCCTGTGCCTTAAGGAAGTCGCTATTCCGGCGGACGTGCGGATAGAAGAATTGAGGGGTCGCAGAAAGCAGACGATGAAGACACTTGCTTTCTCCCAGGGCCTGAACATTGAGGAATCAGAGGACAGAGAGTGAGAGATTGGGGGCCGGACACGTTACAAGAAGAAAAGAAGTGCTTTGATCTTTGATCAGTTTCTGTTGCTGTTTGTATTGAGAACTCCTTGATCATTCCTGATCCCCTCTCCTTTTTGTTTGTCTTCAGGAGGTCACCAAGCTGGTCGACTTAAAGCTGCATGAGTGCTGGAACGTCCAAGGTACCTCCTCAAAAGCGGCTTCGAAAATGAAGAAAGCTGCAGGTGGTCTCAGCAGGAGAATGTCGGTGGAATTTGCGGCGCCCCTGCCAACAGGCACTAGTGCAAATGAAGGACATGTCGAAGCTAGCCACAGCTGTTTGGCAAGACTTATTTTACATCCAGGAGGCTTGTTCCGCACAATTTGGAATTTGGTCGTTGCACTTTGCGTTCTACATGATGTTGTGATGATCCCGCTCTCTGCCTTTAACCTGTCGGAAACAACTTTTCTGTCAGTTTTGCAGTGGATAGTCCTTCTCTCATGGAACATTGACCTTCTGGTCTCTTTGGTCACTGGCTTCTATGATGATGGCACGCTGGTCATGATTCCATTGCAAATATGGAAAAACTATGCCAAAACATGGATGCTGTTTGATGTGAGCTTCTTGGCAATTATTCTGTTCATTTATGCTCATTTATGTACTGCTGTAGTGTGCCGGTTTAAATTAAGTTTCTTATAGTCACCTCATGTGCTCATACGTTTGCTCCTCTCCTCCTTCCCTCTTCACAGACTGCCAAGCTTGGCCTGGGATGTTCTGGGTCCGTACTTTGGACGTCAGGCTTGATCACTTTGGATTGGACTTTGGTGGTCATTGGTGATAGCAGCTCCTCTAACCGAAGCTCCAATGAGTGGCAGACGCTTCGTTTACTTCGATCCTTGAGACTGGTGCGAATGCTGCGCATGATCAAGCTGAGGCTGGGCACTGCGGACAGTCTTCTGCAAAGCAGGAGGTTTCGACATTAGTTGGCCTTGGCTTTCCATAAAACATGCATGTGGCAATGAACGTTGGAACTCCCCCGGCCAGGAGGGCACACGAAGCATTTCAGGAAATGCTCCACTCACAGGCGTCAAGCCTGTATTTTGGACTTTTTAGCAGCTTGGCATATTTGCAACCTGGAATTGCTCAGCATTATTTTCCTCATGGTTTTCTGGCCACGCTAGCAGATTAGTAACTGTAACATGCATGTGCACATTTAGAAATAAACCCGCTGGAACCCGGATGTTGTCACATCAAGGATTGTCCTCAACCACTTCATTGCCTGCGCGTTTTTTGCCATGAGCCATTTGAGCACAGAGAACTGGGTCAGAGAACTTGGTCTGGAGGATGCCGGAGTCGAATATCAGCACCTCTGACAGCCATAAAGTTTATGTGCTTGAGTTTGAACCAGATGCTTATCGGTCATGGCCATTTCCAGATTTTGTCATAATATGGTGCCACCGTATGTCGGGTGATGCTATAAGTCCCCGAATGTTCACCCTCAAAGCTTACTCATAGTGAAACAGATATTTGCTGACCGCATGATCTTGACAAGCCAGGTACCTCACCTGTTCCTAGACTTTATGCGAGAAGCGTTGTTTTCTACTGAGATGTTTGGTTTGTTTGGTTGATTCCCCTGCAGAAACTATTTCAATGTCAATTCGTGATGCGTCCTCCGCTTGACTTCAAGGTATGAATTGGGCATTTGCTCAGTTGGGAGTGGGATCAAGCAATGCAAAGCCGACAAATTCATTGGCCGCTGTGACGTTACACCATCCCACCAGCAGCAGACCAAACAACCCCCGAACAGCCATGATGTAAGTGGCAGAAAAGAAAGCTGTTGTGGAGATGCATTCTTTTCCCGTTTGCATGCTGGCGTGGAAAGGTAGTAGCGCAATATTTTGTAAACAAATACTTTGAGGTTTGGGAGGTTAGGATGCTTTGGATGGTAAGCAAATCGATGACTTGGCATTCGACATGCCGTCGAATCAGTTAACGCTACTGTATATAACTATATATTATATATATAGTTATTCTTATATATATGTGTGTACAGTACACTTATAGTATCTTATAGTACACTTTTAGATTTTGGTTCCTGCCGGGGTGCTTGATCCCGTGCTCTCGAGGAAATGGCATTTTGTATTGTCATAGCTTTTCGCTCCTTGATGACAGCCGCATCGCTCATCAGCACTGTTAGCAATCTGATGGCTGGATTGAGCAAGATCAAGGAAGATGAGATGCTTGGTGCCCAACTGGCAGCAACAAACAATAAACAACTTGTTGCCGGCAACCGGTGGTTTGATTTTTCTCACCATGTCATCTCACATAGTGCTTTATGAAAATAGCATCCTTTGATTCACCCTTGTTGTGGGAGAATGCTGACGTACTTGAGTTGTCTGAAGTTGTCTAAAGATTCTTGGCCAATGCCAGCCAGGAACACTGAGTTCCGCTTGCTGCGTTGCTACTTGAAACAGAATGAAATCCCGCCACCCTTGAGCCAAAAGGTGACGCAGTTCTTGCAGCATGAGTATAGCTTAAGACAAGAAGCTAGGTCCGCCGACATGGAGGTTCCGGTCCTGGCTTTGCTGTCCAAACAGCTTCAAGGAGAACTCCAACTTGCAAGGTACAATCATGCACCATGGATTAAGATCGTTCAAGATCTTTTGCATAGAAGAGATTTGTGCTTTTCTGTGTTTTCACTCCCGCTCCCTTGGAGTTCAGTTCGGGTGACGAAGAACTGGGAGTCGTGGATGTCACGGGGGGTGGCTCGCGACGTTCAATACTAAGTTGTCCAGCTTGGTAGCATCATCATGCGTTCAGTTCAACAAGATATTTGAAGAAAAACAACAGATGACAATGACAAAACCCATGTATTTTTAACTTTGTTATCGTTTTCTCATAGTTGTAAGGGCTCTTGTGATTTCTAGTCCAGCTGTCCCTTGCATGTCCCGAACGTGTCACTTGCTGCCTTAAGGCACTGTGCAAAATGCCGGTCGTGGACGGCATTCTTAAAATGCAAGACTTGCAGGTTCTCCAAGTGATGCAAAAGATGGCAAGGACGGCCATCAGTAATGCTGTGGTGGCTAACAAAGATGTCATTTTCCTGGCTGGGTCTGAAGCAAAAGCCGCATATCTAACTCAAAGTGGTTCGCTGACCTACTTCCATGACAATGGAACAGAATCAGTACCTTGGCATACCTTCCCGTGCTTGGGGTGGGCGAAGCGGGCAGTATAGTATGATTCTGAGGGGATTGTCCACCTATATAACTAGCACTTGGGCAAGCTGCTCGAAAGGTCCACTTCGCTTGTCCAATCGATATTGCAGTTTCAACGGGCCCTGTTTGTTCTTCCGAAGGCTGGCTGTATGAGTGCAAAACAAGCTGCCCACTGAGGTTCACCTGGATTTTTGGATCGCTGAGGTTTGCCTTTGGACACCCTGGGTGTATTTGGGGGACCTTGTTGCAGATGATGTCTCTCGACTTGTCATCATTGATGCTGATGAGTTCTGCTCAGCCCTGGCCAATTGTTGGCAAACACACAATGCTGCCAGAAGTCACGCGCAAGAATTCCTGGAAGCCATGCGAAAGGAACAGACTTGGACGGATACCTGCAGGCATTGAGAAATATGGAAACCAATTGAATGTGCGGTTTGGGGCAATGTTCGAAGCTGTGCTCGCGAGCGGCCTCAAGTCGCAGTTGTTCAAGTAGACCAAAAAGCAGTTTTCTTTCGCTGTCGAGCTTGTGACATCTTTTGACCCAGGACGTGGTGAAGGTTGAGCCAGACCTCGATGGCAGTGAAGATAGCGCCCAGGTTCACCAGAAGCCAAGTCGTGAAGGTGAGATGTGCGCAAATACTTGTTGACTGCATTTTTTCCAGCTGCAGCTTGTTCAACACCATACGACAAGAGGTAGTTATATATAGAATGTTACTGTATAGGCAAGTGGATGAACATAACACAATATATATATATATACACAATGACTAATCTGTGGGAGTAAGTATTTATTTCTGCTGGCAGTTTCGAACACATTTCAGCACAATATGATGTGAGAAGGTGCTTGAGATCCCGAAGCCCACTGACTGCTCGCAAGGCTTCTTCCGATGGCCGTGGCGAACCACCGCTGTGGTCCCGCAACCAGAGGAGCTCAGCTGAGAGAAACTTATCAGAGCTGCGCACAAGTGGATCATTGAGTGAGCTTGTAGTTTTACAAGACTTCGAGTTTCAATGAGAATCTTGTGCAGTCAGACAGGTTGAGTCTTCCTTCAGATGTGGTCCTGCTAACTTCAACCCCCATGCTGGATGCCGCTGGTGTGCAAAATGCACGCCTGAAGTGGCCAAAAGAACACCCGCAATTCCAAGCAACTAGCTACAAACACGCATGAGGCTCAATCCATCATGTTGCAAATGCACGTGAAATGCCGATGTTTGTCCTGTTTTGCCCAGAACACTCTGACTGGATTTGACTAGCTGACTAGCACGTGGCCTGTGCGGGTGGCCGCGTGAGCTCTTCGCCTCGTCTCACGCAGAAGCCAAAGGCTTCAAAGACTTGGGAGATAGACGAGAAAGATTGAGAAATGCAGAACTGCTTGACAGAGCTGCGCACCGGGCTAGGATCATCATCCCAGTCACATGAGGTTTCCTGGTCATTCTGTATGATTCCAAGGTTGTTAACCGTAGCGCTACCAGGCCGGTGCTGCGTATGTGCGGTTGGCCGAGTGGCTGGAGAACGCCCTGGGATCTAGTCAGCGGCAAGTGCAAGACGCTGCGAAGGAGGGGAGCCGTGGATTTGGTGTTGGGACATGCCGATATCATTGGAACCCGGCTCAATAGAAGAAAGAGATAGAAAGACTAGATCGATGAATCGACTTCCCCAGCGGTCTGTACGGTCGATCAATCCTTTCTCTCCACACGCACCTTGGATGAGGACCAACCAGCTCACATTTCTTGTCATAGAAAGAACCTGACACTGAACCTTGGGACAATGCACTGCGGCAAAGAAGCGCCGTGGATGGCAGGAGGTGGGCGTGGAGGAGAAGAACCTCCGACCAAGTGAAGCGCGGCAGCGCGCAGCTGAGGGCTTTATGGAAGCTATGGACTGGTCACAGGACTGCCGAGCAGATTCTAAAATTGCGATGATTACGATTGCATGCTCCAAACTGGAAAATGATAGGGGACTTACAAAAACGATACTCTTTAACAAGGGTCCAAAACATTGGGAAACGATCGGAGGCTCACAAATATGACGATGCAATAGTAGCACATAATAATATTGACCGGACCGTACCTCATGTGGAGATGAAAAGGACAATGGAGGCCATTTGTGCTTGTAATTTTCATTACTTTTCTCGTCCTAAAGAAATGCCTTGTCTCTAGCCAGCATTTGCAGATCAGAAGCAAGAACAGCAGTTTGAGTACGGGACGGCACCCTCAGAGATATCATTGATATCAGAGATATTTGACCCACAACCTCATGGAGGAAAATCAACTCCTAAACAGACTGTGATGGACCCTATGCTCAGCAAACACCACTCGCTGAGTGCACTTCATGGAGACTCCAAGTTCTATAGTATGCGAGTGTGCGATGCTCTCTAGTGGTTTGGCGCAGGCCAGCCGCGAGTTCGAAAAGGCCGGTTGCTTCTCTGATGCAGCTGAATGTGCTGATGTGCCTTGGCAAAGTAGGTTGCCTTACTGGTCGGGTTGGGTTGATCCTCGCCATGGATTCACTCAAGCACTGCACGTCATTGATGTCATGTAAAAAAAACACGCTAAAGGACGATCTTGTTGGTACCTCAAACCGAGAAGACTCAGCTTGGGTTCGCATTGTCATGGTTGCGCTTTGTTCCGGCAATTCCAGGACTGATATGCGGTAAGATTGTCTATGCACTTCAGGTATGCTAAGCCTTGCGTAAAACATCGTAAAACTTGTGAGTCAGATATTGGATAGCGGGCCCTGACGGCATTCACTAAGAACAGGTTTTGTCATTTTCCTGGTGAGCGTTTTCGCCAGAACGTAGCAGTTGTTCTGATCCTACCCTTGTGAGTTTTGGGGTCCAAAAAAGTTGGAGGTCACAAGGACCCGCTCGAAAGACACGCCACGCAGGCACTGCAAAACTGGAAACATGCGGGCAAGTTGTGGCGAATGGCTGGCGAGGCTGATGGGTGGATGCGGATGTGCAGCATCGGCTCGTGCCCGCTGAGGTACACTTCTGTCATCCCCCATGCATGTTTCTCACCTGCTGAACGCTCAAGCATTTTTTGACTTGTGGTGGCCGGCCTCTTTGTGGAACAAATTCGCGCAATTTCTGTGTTGGTCTTCACTCCCGCTGCTGACCACGGTCTATTCTTGTACATATGTTTTAACGATTGGACCTTTGTACCATTTTGTACCTTTCAGCGAGTTAGGAGACTTATATAAGCACAGGAGGCTACAAGCAAGTTGTAGATTATAGACAAGTTGGTGTGCAGACAGAGAATGGCTGCCTAGTTGCTGGCTCCTTGCTGCTAGGATGAGCGTGCGCTTAAACGCTTCCATCGAGCCGAAGCATGGAACGACTTCGAACCTCGTCCTTTGAGATTCGGCATCCACGTTGAAGACAACCTTAAATGAAGACCAGACTAGAGGCAGCAAGTAGCTTCCAGTTGATATTTGCTAGATAGCATTGCACAAGAGCTTCCACAAAAAGTAAGCACACACTTATAGAAATGCGTACTGAGTACTGAGTATTGCTAATTGGGTTGCGGTTTGCCAGACGCCAGCCTAAGTGAAAAACCTAAGAAACCAGGGAGAGTAAAGGTAAAGCTTCTCAAAGCTCCAAAGCACAAAGTGCTTAAATCTCCAAAAACGAGGTCTCCAAAGCTCGATGAAGGTTCGAACGGCGAGCACCTGTCTGCAGACCTGTCATCACCTAAACAGCCTGACTTCTAGAGGGGAGCATAGTTCAGCAGCTACACGGAGGTGATCAATCTCCGCTTCCCCCATCGTGGAATAGCTTCGTTGGCACAGGTATCCACGATGGGCCTGTGCCCCCTGCTGAAAAAGGACACAATCCAAAAGGAATCTTGTGACTCCAAAGGTTACACACACACCTCCCCGAGGGGAGGCGTTCCTTTTCAATTAACCTCCGGACGAGGGCAAGGTTGGGTGAAAATTGAACCTACGCGGGAGGAGCAGGGATAGGTGGGCGAGGAATCATCACTCTAAGGTCCCGACAGACTCCAACGAGTCTTGAACAAGCTTCGTCCGCTGCGGCCACGTACGCCGTGCCAAAATGGCTGGCAGCTTTGACTGCTGTGGTCACGTAAAGGCAAGCCAGCTTAGAACTCAATAATTCGTCAAGTCTTGGCAAATGACTTTGGCCTAGGCCATCTACGCTCGCCGCGAGCTGCTTTGTATCCGGGCAGGGCGTACGTTCGACTTACCCCCCTTCGACGGGTCCACAGGGGCCACTCCTCGGGGCACCCCGGGCTCTCATGAGGAGAGGCGCACTTACAGAAATCGGTACTGATTGGATGCCAGCATCAAAATTTTAAGACTTGAACCGCGAAAGCTCTGAAATGAAAGTGGGAGAAACTCCGTAGACCCGGCGGTGTCGAATCTCCGTGGCTCGGCAGCGTGGGGTTCAGAAGATTCATGGGTGAGACAGAAACGAGCCAGTAACCTGATTCGCAAGTGCAAAAACGCCAAATCGATATGTGATTGCCAGTGGTCTCAGCGCCCCCTTGCGGGAGATCGCACTCTGCACCAAGTGGGACGACAGAGCGGCACACACTTAGTCATTGGGTTTTCAGTTAACTCAATTCCCCGAAGAAAGGAGCGACGGATCGGAACGGCGATGGAGTCAGCTCACTTGGATTGTTGAAAATACTGTTTACGCGTGACTGCAGCACGCGGCGGTGTCGAACTTCAAACGCGGCTCAGCTGCAAGAAAGGGTTTGGGGACAGTATCATGCAAGAACCATGGAAACAAAAACCGGGAAAGTGGAGTCACAGCATGTGCAAAAGTTGTGTCAGCGCAGGTACGCCAGGATGGCCAATCCTGGTATCCCGTGGTCAGACTAGCTTCGTTGGGCGTAGTCATCTGAACACGCTACGCCCCCCCTGCATATGACAGTGTGGTTCGCGGTAATCAAGTAATCAAAACTCCTAGAGACGGAGAGTGGCACACACACACACACATAGCCGCTTAGCGGCGCTCCGAGCGTTGACAGCTGTTTTTCTGGTCGCTTCAAAAATCGTTTGCAGATTTGGCAGTCAGATGCTGCGTGTCCTTTTTGGACACAAAGGTGAACAAGCTGTTCAGCTGCTGCGTCGGCCGCTGTTGCGATCAGGTGTAACTTGAAAAAATTCCCACCAAAACGTGGAAAATGGAAGCGCATCAAAACCTATAGTCAAAATGTGGATTGAACATCCATCGGAGCGTACAAGTGAAACAAGTTGAACATGAAAAGTCG